ATCCCTGATCAATCAATTATTGACTTATAAATTCAGATTTTTTTCGTGTGCAAGTAGACACTGTTTATTAGGATAACAGCCCAATGTTCAGGATTACTCGCCTTCGTATCGTTTTATTTATTTTCTTATTTTTATGGGCATGTTTACGATACTTCTCTGTCAAAAGATACGATATATTGGAGAACATGGTGTCTCAAGATAGGAGACTGGTGCAAAAATGGACATTCGATTTAAGTAAAGTGAATGGAGTGTATGAACTGCACCTAAATTATCAAACCGAATTGAAGAATTATCCAGAGTACAATATACTTGACCAATATGTCCTTCAGGATGGAGCTAAGAATAGACTGCTCAAATTTAGGGATTTATAGATATTCCAGATAAACTCTGGAAGTTGCCTATTGATCCTCGAGTCACTTTACTCTATCCACAAGCGATCAATATTTCTGATGCAATCTATCGGCTTATTGACGGAAAACCATTGAATGAAGTAAGTGAATTTGTACATTAATTAATAAATATCTTTCTAGAAACCAATAAATATCCCCAAATTTCGATATCTTTCAGTTAGCAGCCAGGTATGCAATCCAGAGTATCCCAGTAGTCAAGAACTGAATCTTATTATTGTCGTAAAATCTGGAATAGCAAATTTCAATAAGAGAAGGGAATTTCGACGACTTTATTCCTATCTCAGCCATCCTTCCACTCACAAACTCTATGGCATTCGAATTGGTCTTGTTTTCTCACTTGGTATTCCAAGACAGCAAAAGGATAATATTTTTATGCGAGGAAATCGAACGATTCGACTTGATGTTAGTGGTGGAGAATTTCTGAATCCTGAGGGACTTAAAGAGATAGCTGAAAATTTGAAACAAGAAATGGAAACACATTCGGATATTATTCTTGGTGACTATGAAGATACTTACTTCAATCTCTCCCTGAAATCCCAATATGTCTTTACTTGGGCTGCAACATTTTGTCGAAAGAGTCGACCAATCTTTGTCTTCCTAGACGATGATATACCGTTCCGTGAAAGATGTTTACTACAAGGCCTTCTAGATCTTAGCCCCATGGAAAAGCAGGACCTTTTCCACGGTCTTTATATTCATCGAAATAAAGTATATCGTTTCGAGAGAAAGGCGGTGGAAAAGTGGAGTGTATTCAAATCAGAAGTACCCTGGCCCGAATATACACCTTTTCTGCTTGGCTGTTTTCAGTTAATTAGTTTTGACAACATTGAAAAGATTGCTTTAGTCATGTTGTTCACCCAATCACTTTCCGTTGACGACGCATGGTTAGGTACAATTGCATATCGACTGGGAATTGAGATGAAATCGGTGGAAAAGATAATGCGGAGATATCAAATTCCAACCCAAAAGCCTACTTGCTTCAAAAGCATACATAAGAAATGTTTTGACTTTCATTAATGCTAATTGTTGAGGAAATATAGGCATATTTTGTTCGAAACCTTCTTGTGTCTATTTTTAATGCATTTTTGGAGTAAAAAAATTAATTTGCCTATGCAAACTTTTTGGCATGATTGATTGGCATTTTAATAGATGCATAACCTGTGTGGGTGTATGCTTTATGACTGTGAGTTAAGCATCTGTGAAATCTGTGAAATCACATTACCATCAGAAAGATTCAATCGTACTAGTACGTACATGACTGGTCTATTTTAAAAGGGGAATCGGGAATTTTTCGAAATGTGTTTCTTCTGCTTCTGACAAATGCATTATTGAAGACATTAATGACTTTCTTCTGAAGAAAAGAAAACTTTTCCAAGAGTTCTTAACCTCTCTAATCAATTTGGCATTAAAAATATCTTCCTTACCTTTAAGTAGAATTTGTTTTTATCCTCACTTGGACAAATGCCAAAAAGTTAAGAAAAGCTTTCTTTTTCTGGGTTCAATCGTCATACGCAATTAATCTGCGCATATGAACAGCTTTAAAGGGAACATTTTCGTTTGAACTGACAAAGCCGTATTAATGAAAATATGGAGGTGGAGTGCGTGCAAATGCTGTAGTAGATATCCAGGTTTCCTTACTCTCAGTCAAAGCAAAGGAGCGTTGCTTTTAGGTGGACTACTCTTTGACGTAAAACGCAAAGGTTTTGATGGACCATTACGTAATATAACTTGTAGACTAAAGCGCCCTTTTTATGAACAATCGAACATGTTCAAGAAGCATAGTTTCCCCTTATCTACAAATTCCTGACAATTTCATCTCCTTTTCCTACATTATCTTTTATTTCGGAAGAATTTATTTATTTATATCGAATGTCAGGCGTTATTGTAATTATCATTAGCTCTTTAGCTAACTTCGTGCTTCACAGAGGTGAGGGACATCAAAGTGGGATAAAGTTGAGAAGTAGAACAGAGTAGTGATGGAGAGATGTAAAAGAGACAGACAGACAGACAGACACAAAGGTAGAGAAAGGGAAAGATGAGTACTGTGGTAGTTGATTTGATTTTGGAACAATTATGTTCAAAAGTGTGATAAATCGATATTTCTTGATCCCCGCGGAAGACATTTTCAAAAAAATCTAGTCAGAATTTAATAAGAAAAATATGGCAAAATCCCCTTGTACGGATGGGGTCTCGAAGTGTGCTAGACAGCCTAAGCGATCCAGATGTAACAGACATATGAAATATAAATTCATTTATTCATTGAAATGCAATTAGGGGTTTGTTAGTCAATGTAGAGTCTGTTGATCGATGGTTGCCCTCATGGCGCGCACTTACTCCACATCCTGTTTAATGCCAAGTTGCTTTTCGACGAGGAGGCTCCAACCACAAATGAACTACTTAGAAATCTTCCTTTGAATACGGAAATCATCTGTTCACATTTTCATCTCTCACTTGTTGTTGCTGTTCAGATTGGGTCGTCTTTGTGGAACTTATTTATTCTGGATAAATGTGACTTTTTCTACTACTTTGTGAAATATGCAATTGTCATCTACAATTCATTACTTCGAACAAATATTGGTGTCTTCACTCGCATAAATGGACCTTTTTGATCTCAGTTACTTCGAGCCGATTTCTATGGCGATTTCGTTCGATGTGTACCAGATGGTTATGGCCACCTACAAATATATTCGATTTCCCAGTCACCTAACTATTTTCCGTAGTAGCCCCATTAAAATGAGTCTTTTAGCCAAAACGAAAAAACGCACTTTGCAGCAACTTACCTCTTTTTATTCAGGCACTTGTGTGTTTTGTAATCTAAAGAGATTGGAATGATTGGGTATGAGGGAAAGGCGGAAAGATAAGTTCTTCACTCACAAGATTCCGCAATCGATACTTTTTATGGTTGCTTTTACAAAAATTATTCGGATTGTGAAATTTGCGATTAATGAAGCGCGAATACTCTTTTCTTCTTCGTATGCTTATCTTCGAGATTCGAATGCACTGAAACTGAACTCTACAGTCACATAATTGACGTAAAGGGGGTGGGGTGCGATTCGGTCAGTACTTTTTTACGTTTCCCAGTTACTCGTCTCAAATACTTTTCGGCATTTTTGTGTTCTTGTAGAGTATTTGCTATAATATAACACTGGTTTCTTCCAAATGGAGCACTCCTTACCACCATCCCTCTGTGAAAAGTGAAATAATAGTACTTAAATGCCATAGATAGTTAAATCAGATCAAATTATGATTTGTGGAAAGAAGAAGAAAAGGTATGACAATATTATGCGCAATAAAAAATTAATGAGTGCTTTTTAAGGTTTGAACAATCATGAAATTGCAATATGGCTTTTCTAGACAACCCTAGAAATAAAATTCTATGATCGAGCAGATCGCATTCTTCCTCTGCATTTTAAGCCTAAGAGACTTTCAAATCCTATTTCTCGAAATGTGTCCAAGCTTGAAGCACCATTGGCATTGTAATTTATTTTACGCATTTGCATTCCACTGTGAGTATAGCGACAGTTGAAAGACGTCCTTCAATACTAAAAGTTGGTAAGTTATGTTCAGCATTTCTAATCACAAGAATCATGAAGCAGAAAAGGAACTAACTTGTTAGATCGCTACCTTAGAATAAAGATATGGTATCTGGTTCTTTTATAATTATTGATCGGTATACAGTTTTGATTTGTACTCCCGAATGCACTCTCATACACATGTGTGTGTATGTGAAGCACCATTGGCATTGTAATTTATTTTACGCATTTGCATTCCACTGTGAGTATAGCGACAGTTGAAAGACGTCCTTCAATACTAAAAGTTGGTAAGTTATGTTCAGCATTTCTAATCACAAGAATCATGAAGCAGAAAAGGAACTAACTTGTTAGATCGCTACCTTAGAATAAAGATATGGTATCTGGTTCTTTTATAATTATTGATCGGTATACAGTTTTGATTTGTACTCCCGAATGCACTCTCATACACATGTGTGTGTATGTGGTTCCGTCTTTAAACAATCGATAATATTTCTTCATTCCCGACCTGTTTGCCTAGTTCGCTTTCACTTCGAAATCATTCTAAGAAATTCTGTAATATTATAGCAATCACTCCCCATATTAATTCAATAGTAATTTACTGTCTGTTTTTCTAACTGCTTACAGGATGACCAGCACAATTTGCTCAAAGTTAAAAGTCGTCAAGGCAATTTTATAAACCTTTAATGCCCAGGAATCTGCCAAGTTGCATATTTAACTGATGAGAACAAGAAAAAGCCCTCAAATCCACCAATTAATATTCATATTTAAAAATATAAAGGTACGATAGAGGAATGCTTCAGTATTAAGCCCTGACTTGTACCTTGAAAGGAATGGCTCCCGAAACTAGGTAAGTTGCTTCAACAATATCGAAGGAAAAATCGAAGAGACAGAACGTATGAAGTGGAATATGTTTATTGAGGTCATGCCAATTTTGTGGTATATATCTTCTATACCATAGAGAGGCACTGGAATTATTCATTAAATGGTGTTTTGGGTAGTCTGTCCCTAAAATGACTATTGATTGTTGGTTGCATGAGAGATCTCTGTCCTCGTGACCTCATGTTCTCCCCAACACGATCAGCATCCAGGATGTGTGAATGGGGATGATGTTCCTTAGTTCAAACTGAAGACACTTTCTTCTCTCCTCATTCTTTTGAGTTAGCGCCAACTGAGAAATGCAATTCTTTGAAACCTCCTCGTTGCCTTCCTCGCGTTCACAAATCCTGATACCTACCCTCACGCTATTCTTTGGAGTCGCGTTTTTCGGCGTCAGTGGGACAGCTTGATTACAGAGAGATTTCGACAACAGGGCCAAAGTACGATGTGGCCAGTAGGGATTAGAAGGCTTGTCAGCATCAGCACCTAAAGCAAGGGAGTGGACGGATGGGGGAAGGAGAGAGTGTACGCTTGTGGCCTCTCGACGAAGTGAAGACATTAAGTGAGTCCGACGACACTCAAACACTGAGTGAACCAGGAGTCGTCGTGGACAAGTGCAGGAAAACGTAGTTGAGGGTCTGAGTTTATGGAAACAGATGAGGAAACAAGTTAATAAAGTTAACTCTGCAATTGCCAAATTCAACATTTAACATAACTTCAACATTAAAGAACATTTCCAAATTCCAAGATTACAAGAAAGCAACTCTGAATGCCCTATTATCAATAAAATCTAGATTGTTTGGGCCCTAAAGCTCCATCATGCTTTTGGCATCATTCACACAGGGAGATGAGCTGAAATCAAGAGATTTCTGACTTTAAGTCTGAATGTCCAAATGAATTGATTTGCACTTTTGCAAAGAGCATTAAAACCATCTTATCTTAATATCCCTCGAGGACGTTTCATCCGGATTTGGTGCAAAACCCTGAACCCGATTGAAAGAACATGGTAAAAGATTTCAATTCCACATATATAAATTCCGATGAAACTGCTTAACATGTATCAGGTCGAATACACCTTGGGACACAGGAAGATATTATTGAATTCCAAAGATCATCATCATCTTCTTCTTCTGGAAAGTGCGAAACTAGAGGTAAAAGTCCACTGATGCAAGTTCAGCTAACAATATCAAATTATCAGCAAAAACTAGCAACAGAAGAGGGAGAGGATTTGAAGACGTTAGGACTTCATGCAACAATATTCAGCTGCTTCTTCGGAAAAAGATGCCATCTTCAATATCATTCATTAGTTCGAATAAACAATTTCTTGGTGAAAAGTTATTTTAAATAAAAAAGAAAAAATTTAACACCTTCATGGAAAATATATCCAAAAAATCAACATATTTTCCAACGCTTCCTTACGAGACGAGCATGCCAATTGATAGCTTTAAAGCATATAATTCAAACTCCAGGTAAATCATTTTCACTCGAAGTAAATAAATTCGTGGAATGCTTTAGTGGCAAGTACTTGGCGTCCTATAAACGTTCAAGGTAAGCATCCACGAACTTGACTTATGAAGAATATTTGACACGCATTAATTTATCCTACAGTCAAATGTTGAGTTCACTGTATTCACTGTGGAATACAAAAGTGAGTTTCTTATTAACATTATGACCGAGACACCTTCCTCGTATGAAGGAAAAAGAAGACATCTTTGGGAGAAATTTAAAGGTAAGACAAAATGGGAAAGAAAACATTGGTTCACTCACACAGAGAATTGAGGATTTTCGATTTCTTCTAGCCACTGATAGCCACGGGATGCTTTAAATACCTAAGTAAAAAAATAGAACCATAAGTCAGAGAGACTTCACTTCCTGTGAAATCTGAATATATCTTAGAAATTGTTAAAATAATGACAAATATAGGTCATAAAATAACAACATTTAGAGGCCGATAGCATGGAAAATACTTGCAAGTTATCTCACTGGATGAGGGAGTGCACAGCAATGCGGCAGAAAAAAATGCTTGATGAACATTGATGTTGAGTCTGGCTGAAGTTTCGACTCTACAACATCGTGTCTTCTTTAGCGACTTGCAGACTTTATGTAGCAGATGCTTCAAAAATTCCTTATTCTCAGGAGACACTTCACAATCGCGTTTCGAAGAGGCGAAAACGAAGGGAATTCTACGTTTTCGGAGTTCTGTAAGTGCCTTTTTGAGAAACTTTTGTTGTGAGACAGCAGCTTCACCAGTGAGAGTACCATCCACCACTACTATAAAAACATCCACCGTGAAATCTCCAGGCTCAAGAATTTCACGAGTAATTCCACTCATTTCCAACTTGGTCTTTACAATCATAGGCCGTTTTGGGTGAATCAACGCGAATCATACTTTCAAAACATCGATCTATATCAGATTCTGATTAGGGTCCTAATGGCTTGAATAGATGGTCGTCAATAAAATCACATTGCTCCATTATACGCAAGCGGAATCTTTTGTTATCGTTTTGTATAATTTTAGAACCCCAGTAAATTCATTGACTTCCATCTATAATACTTCCGCAGTAGTCAGAATTGCTGATAACAGAGAGATGTTCCTCGGTGTATAGGGTTAGTTTTATGAATCGGTGTATAAGACATGATTTGTCAACGCGAAATTGAGGTGAATAAGTTGGACTGCAATATCCAATCGTAGATATGTTGATATTAATAGGTAATCCTGTGGATGCTTCGTGCATTTACATTTTATGTACAGAAGAACCTAATACCCTCCACACAAGGGACGAGCGTTGATGTATCGCGAAAGTATGTATTTGATTGGGTTCATATGACCTTTGAACAATATTTAAGCGAAATAAAAAGTTTTGTTTCAATTCGAATAAAACTTAATTATTTTTAGTTCTGAAGCCAATATAGACCACAGATAATATTAAAGAACATTATGAATTAGAGGTGGGTGTATATTTCAAACATGAATGATTAAATTCGTTTTGCACAAATTTTGTTGTGAAATGAAGTATCTTCAAGTTTATGAATGTTACAAATAACTTTGGCATATGTACGCTATTCGCTAATGTTTTTGAACTAAAGTTTTATTAATTATTTTTAAGTATTACAAAAATGCCAATATATCAATATTATGGGATGTAATCAATATATTATCCAATTATACATGTGCACATATGTTTAAAATAAATATTCCAATGATATTTTATTGTAACTATTATGGAAGTTCATTCTATTCAAGTTACTTCAGAGTGGCACGTTATGTGCGTTTAAGGATCAGGCTCTGAATTACTCTTTTTGTTTCACTATGTCATTTACTTTGACAATGATATTCTTATATCAACGTCAATTAAACAGTCTAATTTGCCTTCTGTACTAATTTATGAATTATCAATACTTCATTCACACAGGCCTTCGTGAATATGAGTTAGCTATTTAATATTTGTTTTGGATTCGTGATACTTTCGAAGCGTTTATTTCGTGATATTACAAGTGTTAATCACAAAAGTTTTGAGTGTCTTTTCAAAGCATATTTACTCCCGTGCATGGCTAGGAAGGTACTTCTTGGTTATAAGAAGAATTTCCTTAAGGTGAGTTCTATACTTATTCCTAAGGTGTATGACCCTTAGCCTAATATTGATTTATACACTTAAATTAGAATGAAAACTGAGAACCGTTTGTGAATGCTTAATACCATTAAATGTTTGAAAGTTGTACAAGAAATTCCTCCAATTTCTCCTTCTCTCACGATTATTATTTTATACACAATGGTTCACTTATCTCCAATTATTGGTTTCCAGAACCTGTGTGAAGGTGGCGCATTGAACTACTGATGATTCCAACTGATGTAATCAATGATGTTCAATCAACCTGTCAATCTCTTTGAACTATGTTTTCACAAATGTACCAATTAAGTTACATTAGGGGAAGTCATCAGCCTAATTTCATTGCAATTAGGTGCACGTTTAACTCAAACTAGAGCACAAGTTAAATGATATTGATACAAAAAATAGGGAGAATGAAAACTCAATTCCACTTTTATGTCAAGAACTCTGGGCTTTATGAGTTTCATTATGGCTCATTTTATTAATTCGTTGGATAAACGTTATTTTTAAACAATAATGGGTAGAATACTTGGAATAAATATTAAGTTCGACAAATGCGAATAGTTATTAACTATTCACAATCATTCCTACACCCTGTCAGCATACATCTTCTATTTTAGAATGAAATTAAACGGTGCCAATTTTTTTTTAGAGGTATGTCCTTGCGAGTGGATTATAGTCCAAATTCATATACTTATTCATTTATATCAAATGTCAGGCGTGTCGAGAGTTATCATTAGCTCTTTAGTTGACTTGAGGCTTCATAGAGGGGAAGCAATATCAAAGTGAAAAAAGTCGAGAAGGAGAGGGAGGAACAGAAGAGTATTTCAAAGATGTAAAAGAAACAGATACAAAGGTTGAACAAAGGTGGTCGAGCATTATGGATTACCTATTGACCTTATTGGAGCTCGAGATCATGGTGACCAAATGTACTGAAGTGTAAGCTATTTTCTCTCTCACTTCTATTTTAAAAATTGCTAAGACAAGCATAACAAGTGTTAATGGAATATAAAATTTGGGAGAGGGGTTGCATACTGGAGCTACACTTATGAGAAACTCGCCCTCCCCTCCCCACCATACCTCCTATTGTGCTTAGCATTCCACATCGTTGTATTTATAAATATATGGTATTACAAAATTCTGGGCTCTGTAATTTGTTGTACCGATATCAACTATCCACACATCCAAATTCTATTTTTGACTTTTCTTATTGCAAGTCAAAGGTGAGCTTGGAGCTAACATGGATCAAAGCTACTTGTCTGCTCAGACGCGCTGACAGGGTGCTAGTATGCATTCGCCGGTCAACTACTATTCTCATTGATGTGGTTTGATCTTTCTTCGCATTTACACATAATCTACCTTCTTTTTGAAGTCTTATCATATTTTCGTCCAGCAACATTTTGAATGAAAAGGCAGTTGCTCCACTCATCCATTTGCATTCCATTTATCTTACCCTCTCTTCTCAATTAACAAACAGCCAACTGTATAATCGATTTTTTCTACTCAAATTCGTGTAGTTCATGATGATTGTATTGAAACTAGCTTAGATATATGCTCTACATTGTTTAAACCTTGATTCCGATGAAACATATCATTAAAGATATAAAGCTTAGCAACCAGTGAACTTTATATGCTCAATTTTATTTATTGCGGATTTTCGGAAATGGTGATACCACTATCTTCACCATACTATAGATTTAATATTGTTAGCTCTATACCTTTCAAACCAACTTCTACTCTCACCTCGAACACTGGATAATTGATGGTTAATTAGGTTCAATATTCATTCAGAAATAGATCAGTGCGTGCTGTTAGCGTATTTTAATACCAAGAGATTCAATTATAGACTGCCCATTGGTTTTGGAAAGTGGTAATAACCGAGATTATATGTATTTAATTTGTCAAGATAGTCGATTCATTATTAGTACAAGTTTAATGTATTGTGGGACACGTCATCGCATTCGCGTACACAGAGGCTTGAGGTGCGGCTGTACAACCTCGCGTACGGATTGAGGACAAGAGCACGCAGCCAATAGCAGCTCAGTGACCCTCACTTGTTTTACCAAATCCGCCATGTTGTATGACTGAGTTCCTTCCTTTGTACACTTCTTGCGTGGTTTATCTACTGAATAAACGTGCTCCGTGCTAAACGTCTGTTTCCTTCTATAGCTGGGCTATGGCTTAGCTGGTTCTGGGAGTCTAGCTAGATGTTGGAGAATCTGCCATAGAGATTTCTGAGTCAGTCAGGCTTTACTAAGGTAGCAATCCGCTACAGTATACTGGCATTTAAGCTTCAACTTAGATCAACTGCACATGATTGGAGATATTGAGATTTAAATGAAAAGAGATCTTTAATTTGTGTCATGCTTTTTGAGAGATATTGACTGGAATTAAGCTTTCAATGCGTTTAAGGTAGTAATTGAATTAAGATGACAATCCAAGAAATTGCACTCTACCACGTGTTATATTTCCATTGACGACTACGATTATTTTTTTCCTTTCTTTGCAATTGAAAATTCACAATTAAACGATGAGCGACAACGTCATTCCCTCCATATACTTTAATAGACCCGTCTGGAAGGTACAGACTTTCGAGATAGTTGGATGAAGTCAGAATGCCAATTGACAAAGCAGAGCTCTCCCAAAACGAACTCAAACAATACTTGTGAGCACATTTCGCAGTTTCTTTAATGAAACCGGTTTCTAAAACTTATCTGGAGAAGGAAGAAGTCACTCCTTAATTACTCTAGTAAGAATCTCGCTTCCTGTGGATACCAACCAATTACCTGATGTGTCCTGACATTCATGAAACTCATTATCTCTCAAGCGTGAGTTGACTCCTAAATTACCAGAACTATTTAAGATTAGGATAATTAAAGTTCCCAATGTGGTTGCTTAATAATAGTAATGGCCCTAGAAGTTATCGTATTCTCAGGAACATTAAAATGATTGTGATAAATGAGCTAACTGTTTTACACTAGTTAAGGCTTTTATGGAAAAAATTGCACCATAATAAAATAGGTAAAGTCATATTTATAAATCGATGTGCACTGTTTAAACGAGAGGAGATGGCACCACGGTTAATTTTAGACCATCTATCAATACCGAATATCTTATAACATTTGGAATCAGTAGTAACTCATTTTACATTTGGTGAAATTAGCAGCTGACGTTTTCCTGGAATCTTTCTTTACTGTTTATGTCGTATATATCAAAAATGAACTTGATGTCACCGAATATGATATAAGCCAATACTATTGCGTTTATTCAGTAATTCCTACTGGTCAATATGCCTCGACGAATCCCTGCTCAATCAATTATTGACTTATAAATTCAGCCTTTTTCGTGTGCAAGTTGATACTATTTATTAGGATAATAGGCGAATGAAGAGGATTACTTATCTTCTTATCGGTTTATTTGGTGTATTTTTTCTATGGGCATGTTTACGATTCTACTCTGTCAAAAGATACGATATTTTGGAGAATACAGTGACTCGAGATAGGAGATTGGTGCAAAAATGGCCATTCGATATAAAGAAAGTGAATGGGGTGTATGAACTGCACCTAAATTATCAAACCGAATCAAAGAATTATTCAGAGTACAATATACTTGATCAATATGTTCTTCAGGATGGAGCTAGGAATAGACTGCTCAAATTTAGTGATTTAATAGATATTCCAGATAAACTCTGGAAATTGCCTATTGATCCTCGAGTCACCTTAGTCTATCCACAAGCGATCAATATTTC